TTTAACCAGAGTGAACTGCATATTCATATGCTTCATTTCATAAGTTCAGAGCCCCTGAATTTTTAAGAAGACGAGTTCAAACTTTACACAAAGGACTTGAGAAGGACCCTGAGTTATTAAAACACTTTTCACAGCCTGTCCTATTACTGCCATTGCTACTACAAGTCAGGATTTGTCACACATGCGCACCTTCTCTTAGGGGGAGGCTCTTCGTCCTCAGAGTCTTCTTCTGATGAGTCATCTTCATCTTCATCCTCATCATTAGAATCATCTGACTCTTTCTTTGGAAATAAAACTCCTGGGCTGTGAAAAAACAGGGAAAAAAAAAAAAAAAAGAGGGATTAGGTAAAAGAGGAGTCCCATACAGGAGAAGGAGAACAATGTGAACCGAGATGCTCTTCCCTGAACATCCCCCCTTCCTCTGAGCTTCCCCCAATATGTCATTACCAATACCAGGTAACAATTTAACCTCTCTTGAACACACAAAGTGTGAAAAATCTTTAAGTCCCAGATTATACATACCTCATTCCCTCTCTTTCCCTTTAACAAAAAAAATTTTTTTTTAAGTTTTATGTGTACAAAACAATGTAATAGACATTAACACCCCTCACAATGATAGCCCCTTTCCCCCAATTTATTGCCCCTCTGATATCGTACACAGCTGTTACAATTCCATTGACTCTATTCCCTATGCTGGTACTCCATATCCCACGACCGACTGTCTGTCTATCTATCTATAATCATAGTTGACATTCAATATTATTCAGCTTCAGCTTCAGGTGTACATTGCAGTGGTCAAGTATCTACATAGTCCATGAAGTGGTCTCCCTAATAAGACAAGTTAAGTGCCCATCTGACCTCCTACAAAATCTTTACAACATTATTGATTATATTCCCCAAACTGTATTTCATATCCCCATGGCTATACTGACTGCTAATAAAATTGATTCTTAATCATTCATAACATTTCATGTGTATGACTTTATTTAAAGTTTAATGTTTGAAAAATGAAAACATGCATTCAACTTATGCTTGTATACAAAGAACTAGAGCGCTACACAATCCTCCTGCTAAAATAGGGCTTTAGTGGTACATGTCATGACACCCACCGTACTATTAGTGAGAAGTGTAAGGAGGCTATGGCCTGGATGCACAGACAGTGCTTGGCCCGTAGGAGGCACTCAATACACATTCTGGTTCAATAAATAAGGTGTAAGACATGCTTTCAGTATGAAGAAGGCAGACTAGGATTCTTGGAAGCAGCCAATGCTTTCCCTACTTGGTGCTGGACAATTAAAAACATATACACTACTCTAGTAATCTTCCTGTCATTATCAATTACTTAATAAAGAAGGAATGAATGTCAAAATGACTGGCCAAGGATCTTGAGGAATTCAGAGCTTGATTTCAAGAAAAGCTGGCTGCCAAAAAGCTCTAGGACAGCCAAAATTCCTCTGTTCTTTGATGGAAACCTTTTGCTCAAAAACAATACTGCCTTAAGTAGTCTTTATTTTCAAGTGTATCCAGTTCTGTGTTAACAGTAATAAGAGTAAATAAGTTAAGCCAAGCCTATAACCTAGAGTCAGGTTTTAAGTTTATGATGACCAGTATGTCCTATTATGGGCGGGATGTTTACCTGGGGTAATAGGGAAAACAAAGCTGGAAGGTACCACTGAATCCTTTACCAGAGATCTGTTCCATCCACCCATTCTTTTCGCATTTCTGCAGGGTTTTCTTCAGCAAATGCACTGAACAAAAAATTCAAAAATGAAGAAAGCTGTTATTTAAATTTGGTAATTCACCACAATCAGTTATACGTTAATGTAATGTCCTGTCATATACAGTAACCGACATATTCTAAGTGAATCCTCTGTGGTCAAACCAATTAACTAATTCACCAAACGATTATTAAGTGCCCATAAATTTGGCAAGAGTTAAATTATAATGGTAGAAGACTGCAGAGGCCACTGAGTCAAATTCCTCATTGCACAGAAAGGGACATAAGAGCCCAGAGTGCTTAGTGACTTGCCCTGCAGCTGTACATGTTTAATAGCTGACCTAAGACTAAATCTCTCATTATTCCATTCAAACATCTGTTGAGTACCTACAAGAATACGTCATCATCCAAGAGAGTATCTATACGTATAAACAGAAGCAATTTCTCATGAATCAGCACAGAGTACCAGAACAATATCATGGCTCCTAAAGGTCTAATGCTCATTTTTCATACGAAGACACATCAAAAATAAATTTTATAGTGATTCAGTGTCCAAAAAAATAGCTGCAGTATCAGTGAAAGTGAAAAGGTTAATAACCGATCATCTTCTAACACTCAGCCAAAAGAGAAAACCATGAAATAGTCTATAAGGGTCAATTTGCATAGTTTTCAAAGTACAAAGAAAACAAGAAAGCATTCCTTTATAATGTTAAAACGTACATGTTGTATATATGTTAAAAGTCAGTATTAAGATTTCAAAATTAGCTTTTTATTTAAAACAATATATTCTGTATTCTTCACCCTACACCAGTGTGCCTATCCTAGTAGTTCAGAGAAAACATACAATCTCACTAGTCAGTATGTGACACTGCTGCTAAGGCAAGGTTTCTAGTCTTAAACCACCACCTGACAGGGTAAATATATACTTTACTAAAAAAAGTATTTTCAGTTACAGACTTCAGTGAATAAGAAATAACCCAAGTAGCAAGTATTTTAAAACACTGGCATGGTTTCAAGGAGAAATTAGATGTCTTGCTAAACATTCAGAAGTAGGCGAGAAAATACTATACTTGGGAGGAGTTTTGAACCTAGAGATTTACCTAAATTACAATAAAAATATCAGATTTATCTAAATTACAATACAAATATTTTACAGAAAGTAAAGTCACATTCTGATCTTTAGCTGACATTGTAAATTAAGAATAAGCCTTGATTGATCGGGCCGGCCGAGTGGCGCGATGGTTAAGAACTGGCTTGGGATGCCAGAGGGACCCGGTTCGGATCCCACATATGAGGGCCAGTGACACTGCCCTCNCCCCCCAATTCCCCAATAAAAAAATCTTAAAAAAAAAGCAGTATCATAAAACAAACCAACCAAAATCCACCAACTTTTGGTTCCAGAAGAGTAGGGGATTCTTAGCATCGATACCTAACACCTATACTACTAAGAATTACCTGCCAAATAGCATAAAAGAAATTAGAATTACTTTCTAGAATTAGGTCTCTAGGGTTTATCAACCCTTATGCAGTGTTGTATTTTTTTCCTAGTCCAAGAACACATCTGCACATTAAACACATAAAACTGGAATCTATGTCTTGAAAACATGGACCTTAAATACAAAATGATTTTTAAATCTCTTATTCATTAAATAATCAGGTTCAATATATCTAGAAACATCATTTGCCATCCATGTAAGAATTCACAAGCAAATAAACTGGAGCTTGTATTTAAAAAAGAAATGGATGGTAGCTATTAAGTAGAAAAGATTCAAAGTGAGGTTAGGTAACACTTAGCTACTTCTGAGGATACAGTAGAAAGTTTTAAATATAAGCTACAGTTCAGCAGCTTTTAAAATTTCGTTTATTCGTATTTTTCAAAATATATGTACATAAAAAAAGGAAGATTTATAACAGGAAAGATTGCCTTCCATGCAACACAAATTCTAACGAACTTATGATGGGATCACACATAATTATGGATCTAACTGAAGCCAATCTTCACGTCCATTTCCCAATCACACTTGAGGCTGCAGACAGGATCCCAGGAGACAATGCAAGTGGAATGAATGAAACACACATCTTTTACTTCTGGCAGCACTCAAGGAGCCAGAAGGTGTACACCAGAAAGTTTAAGACAATTAAAATGTCAAGTGCCACAGGAAGGATAAATGATAACCAGAAATCAGTATTTCTCAAGTAGAAAGCCAATACTATTTAACACAACTTCACAATACTAAAACAAATACAAATAAGAGGTTATGTAGTTGGGCTTCATTTTCTTTTTTTCTTTTCATTTGTTTTAAATATTTTAAAAAGGAAGCCACTTGCTTGATATCAAAAGTGCTGTGGAAAGAAAGAAGGGGAAAAGAACCCACAGATGATTCTGGAATCTAGTTTATTTTCGCAAATTGTATGTTTTTCCACTTAATATTCCTACATTAGCAATGATGTAACTCTCCAACATTTCCTTATAAAAAAAGGCAAACAAAAAGTAACAACTCATGCTCCAAATATTAAAAAATATATTTAAACATTTGATCAAGGAGATTTTATGTTTTGATATTTGCTGACACAGGTGACACCAGAAATCACAAATTCAATATATTCTTATATTTCCCCTTCAGTCAAAAACCAAGTGGCAGAGAGAATTTGTGCTTGCTGTTAAGGGAATGCAGTGCCCTGGGCCAGTGAAAAATACCTGGAAATGATCAACATGAAAAGTGGCCCAAAGGAGTCGTGCATCTTCGGACTCTAATGAGATCATAATGTATTTGGCTTTTTCCCAAAGCTAAGATGTCTGTTTTGTATTTATAGTTGGAGAGAAAGGGTTAGCGGAGTGGTTTTATAAATAAGATTACTTCTTACAGCTATAACTGAAGTCTTCAGGCAGGAGGCTTTACAATTCTGTCAGTGCTATGCTGCCTCCATTTTACTTCCAGCACCTGACCAGCATCGTGTTCTCGATGCTTTCTACAAATATAAAAATCTTTCCAAATGTTTAGATAAAACTGGAAGGGGAAAAAAAGCCAAGGCTGACCATGAAAAAAAAAGGGGTGGGGGTGGGGTTGGGGTGGAGGAAAAGAACAGGACAAGTATAGATTACACAGTTAGGGAAAATCCAGAATTATAGCAGAAATTAAAATGACTGAGGGAAGGCAGCGGCAGGCACCAAGAACAGTGCCTCAAGCTCACAAATGACTAAACTGGTTTATTGATATTCCCTCTCCACAAAATGTTCAGAGGGGAGGGAAAAATGTAATTTTAAAAGCATCAAAACTAAAACAAACGCACACTGACCTTAGAAAGTAAGATTTTAAATTTCCTCATATCCTTTTTTCCCCCTATAAAATTTACTTTTTTGCTTTGAAAGATTTCTTCATGGTAGATTTGCCCTTGCCAGGCAATTTCACCTCCTTTCTCACACTGGTCGAAGGCTTCTTTGAAGAGCTACCAGTAGGTTTCTTGATGACTGAGGGGGAGGGTCTGGCTTTCTTGGCAGGAGTTTTGGCCTTAGGAGAGGCTTTCTTGGGCAGGGGTCTAGCTTTCCCCCTCTGGGCAGCTGGAACTTTAGGGACAGGCTTGGACCCTCTCTGCTTCATGGGCGCAGCCTTCCCTGATGACTTGGCTGGGGTTTTCTTCAGCAACCTGTGAGAACCAAAGAGCAAAGGCAGTCAGTCACTTAGCATTTGAAAGATTCAGTTTTCAGGATGACCAGATACTTTACCAAAAAATAGAATAGGTAGAAGTCACCTGTGTTAAGAAGAGAAATGTGACTTATTATTTTTTAACTAGAGGCTTTACTAAAATTGTATAAAATTCAACTAATTCATGGAAGTCTACACATAATTTCATGTTTTTCCTAAGAAAACAGGGAATTATTTTTCTTTGAATACCCAGTCAAACTATGGAGGGGGGAGGTGGGACGGACGGAGG